GAAGATGAGAGATATAGCAGTCCTCTACTGAAATTAGTGCATTATTAAACTTAAATTCAATCTAACTTTAGGGATAATAAATAATAAAAAAGTCCTTTGTTCTTACAGTGATTCTCTGTGTTTGTTTTGATACTATGGATAGATCTCACAAAAGTTAAAGAACATCCTCAAATACATACGTACTTTTCAGACAATTATTTTTCTAAAACATTCACAATATAATTCAAAGCAAAAGAGAAATACAAACACTTTAACTATTCTCACTTTTGGTGAATGATAGGATTTAGCAGTAGGTTCAAATGATAAATGACATTCTTATTTGATTATGATCACAATCATAAAACTCACAGTAGAGTGATGGCTTTAATAGTTCAAATAACCTGACTTGGGATAGAGATTCACAAGGGCTAATCTCACTTACAAGGAGGAAAGTGTAAATTTTAAAGGAAAACATTCAAATTCTATTGAAATATTTCAAGATTATTCCTTGTTCACACAAATTTGTCTATCTAAAGAATTCCAAATTTGGCAAGTAAGGAGAAGGACTTATAAGAACTTACAAATCTTATAAGGACTTCCCTGTCTTTGGGAAGGGAGGACAACTTAAGTAAAACAGACCACCCTTTCTCTCTCTCTGTAAATCAGATAAGTGTTTTTGATCATTAAGCATGAAAAGAAGGGGATAATAAATGGAGGATAACTCCCTCAATATTGACTGGAATACAAAGACATGTAATCTTCTTACAAAATCATTTAGGCCTGCACCACAGGTCTCCCCTCCCGTGCACTCTCACATGAAACAAGATTCTCATGAAAGAGTGAATGAACCACGTTGTGGAATTAGTACACTTGTTTGACCATGACCGTGTTCAGGAGATAGATGACTACAGGCTTTTGAAAATTACGCTAAATATCAAAACCCTTTTTTAAGTGTAGTTTGGTAGCCTTGAATTCTGTATTTGCAGGCTGTTCAATACCTCAGTGATGTTTCTTGTTTCGCAGTAATCTTTGTGTTTTTATTTTCACAATTCCTTCAGGATCATATCCTACTGTTAATCTTGATGAACAAGAGGAAATGTTTCTCTCATGTGGATAAAATTGATTCGCAGCTTAACAAATTCAGAAATAAAAGGTTATTCAATATCTAGGCTATCTTTTTAGAAAGTTGCAGTGCTGTACAGCACAGTAAGCAATTGTCCTACTGCAGCACTATGGCATGAACTTAAAGCTTTCTTTGTACTGCTTTGGTCTTGAAATATGAAGATGTTATGTCAAACAACACCCTACTTCTCTATCTCTGCTTCATAGCATTGTATTTTTAGGTAAAATACTGCTACTTCTGCACAAAAGTTGTATTAGCGGCCTGGTGCTACAGGTTCAGTATATTCAGCTATTTAAGAGGTAAAATGATAACAAATGGATTTGTTCCATAAGATACTTCTGTTGTAAATAGAACAGATTTTCATTCTCATGGACAGACCTTCAACTATGCTTACCAGCTAACCACAGTTGTCAAACATCATGCCCTGTGGTCTGCCATTGTTGCTTCACTTAGATTAAAGAGCAAGGAACAGTGAGGAACATCTAGATTCAAAGGGCTAGTGAGATAAGGATAAAGTCTAGGAGTGATGTTACATGACTCCATCTAGAAGCAATGGAAAAAGAGACTAAAAAAGTTGTAATGAGAGCAGAGTGCTACTAGTGCAGGACAAGGAAAGTATTCTTTTACTCAGTTAAAACACAAATACAGGTTTATGGGGAAACCAGTGGAAAAAGAAAAAACTAAATTAAGACAATTAAAAAAGAGGCATGACACAAGCAGAACATTGACATATTGGCTAATAAAATTGACTTATATTTTACTTAAAAAAAAAACTTGTATACTTCTTTTTGTGCACCACCCAGGACGACTGGCATTTTTGTTTCAGTGTCTCTTCCCCTTCTATTGCTACAGTGAAATACTGAGAAATACGGATAAAATTGTAGGCACAGACTTTTGGAAAAAGTCCCTGTTATAATTTATTGACAATTTTTATTAAAATGAGAAAACAAGGTATTTTATAAATAGTATACTCAAGAGGCAAAGGGCTTTTTATTGACATAAAGTTGTATAAATATGTATATTTGAATTTTGATCTATGACAAGGGAAAATTATTTTTCAGTTCACAGACAGAGGACACAATAATTAGAAAAACACTTTTCCTTTCAAATCTCCACTGGATATGAACTGGAACTGTTAACAGCATCAGAAAGTAACAGCAACTCCTTGGCTGGCACTGGGCTGTGACAAAGCCAGTCCTTTCTGTGTTACTCCTCAATGCTGATTATGAGTCTGTATTACTCATATGGCAGGAAAGCAAAAATATTATTTATAAATGATGATCCCTCCAAATATTGAAAGAATCACTGAAGTAGACAAAAAGGGAAAAACATTTATATGAACATTTTTCCCCTAAGATTTGTTCTAGAATTCTACTATTGTTTCAAATTTGTGTACTTTACTGACACTGTTATATAATTTAATCTAACATTATCACATTTTCCAAGATTTATACTATTAGAATAGGTCATTCTGTATCACTTTCCAACATTTATTGTTATAAAGTCAAAATATGCAGAAGTGCACGGCAATACAGAAATTAATTAATTCATATAATAATCTTCATGACAATCCTTTAAAAACTTGTTAGTACTTAGAGACCTTTTGGGAGTACCAATGCTTTATTCCACCATATGTTGTAGGATTTATATTTTCAGGATCATTACATTTCAACCTTACATAGAATGCACTTTTGACATTCAGTGCTCGTTTCTCTTCCTCATGAGATCGATGTTTTCTGAGCCGGTTTTTATTCTCTTGCTTGTCCATCTTTCATTCCCACATTTGTATGCACTCAGAGTACAAACAAGAAGTCTCAGTGAGCAAAGTGTGCAAGTTCTCACTAAGCCTACTTCTTCCTTGCTGTTTCCCACAGGGTAGGATTCCACTTAACCATGCACTTTACTGCTCCAACCTGCCTGTCTTACTGTATTACTGCTGTATTTCTTTCATGTTCTATGATGATTCTTTTGATGACATACAATGAAAAGATACGGCCACAAAAAGCTATAGCCTAAATTACAGTAAGTATTGCAGGTAGTCAAGGTATCTTCAGTACATTTCATAAGTCATCACAATGCATACATTCCATGTTTATCTTGGGGTACCATGGGACCTTAGAGCCATCCTCACAATGTGTGTCTTAGATATTTGGTAACTGTGTGCTTGACTTCAAAGAGAATTGGGAGGAGAGGGGAGAATGAGGCCAAGTCTTGCTCAACATCCTTTGCAAAGGTTGGGCTACCATGCACTCCTTTGTTTGGAACTCGGGCCATTTCTGAGCTGGGAAGGTTTTCACAGTTCTTTCAGTAAGATGAAGTACTTTCTAGGTAAAAATCGGAACCAACTCTGGGGTGAAAATAGAATTGAGTGTCTAAAAATCAATATTTATTCATTTAAAAAACTATTTTATTTTACTCACGAATTATTAAAAGTTTCAATCTCTGTTTTGTTTTGTTCTGAATGTATAGAAAGAATAGATCAATCCTGGCTGCCTAAATTTTAGTGTTAGAGGTTCCTCAGCGATTTCTAGGACAACCACAATTCAATTTGTAACTTAAAATGATTTCTCCAGGTATCTCAGTTATGATTTCAGATCCAGAAGTCTGTCTGAGCTCTTCTTGTGTTATAAATCAGTTCAGAAACACACTAGGAATCCAAATCAATCCTCAGCTTTACTGTGTAACAACAAGGTGTTTGAACGTTTTTGATAAACATACAATTTAATGAACCCACAAATCAGACTGCAGTTCCTAGCATCAGCCAGCATTCTCTACTGTGCTTTTCTATCCCAAAAGATATATATTTTTTAAAGAGCAGCTTGCATGCCCTGACTTAGTAGGCTAAATTTAGAAAGACAGATTTTAAATTATTTCATTCATCACTTCCTAATTTCAAGAGAATTGTGCATGCATCTTTTTTTCATAACGAAAATAATTTTCGTTAGGAAGATTCTTATTTGGGTTAATCTAACAGAGAATTTATTTGGTGGCTACTCACCTTTGTAAACTGATTTGAAAACCCTGTTCTATAGCATTACACTTTGTTTTCCTCTAGTTTAAAAAAATGCAGTCCTACAATACTCACTCAGGCTCACTGAAACTGAAAACTGAGGAAGGAGTGCAGGATTGGCCCCTTGCTATAAAGCCCACAGCACATGGTGCTGAGATTAACAAAACAAAGTACAGCAGCTATGACTTGGCACAAAGTTTGACAAGCTGCAGAAAAGCAAATGTTTAAATAACTGAAGTGGTACTGATTTTCTATTCACAACCTTTTCTCTTCTAAACAGTATCATATTCTTTTCCAGCACATTTAGATCGCAAGTCAAGCTGTGTTTTATTTTTTATTATAATAAACCCAGTCAGTTTACTGTAACAAAGACATACTACTGGTGATCAGTGTGAAAGCCAGTACGAAATCAGGCTAGGAAAAAAAAGTCAAATGGCAAAATAAAGGACCAGCCGTCTGGAAAGTTCCTGGATCATGTAAAAAGAAAATAAAAGGCTGTGTTCTTATGAGACTAATGCAGAATACAAAAATATTTAAAGACAAAACTCTGTGTCGTTGCCTATGACATTTGTTAGCAGCAGCCGTAAACCTTTACAAATAATGTTGCATTTATTAAACATTTTCCAAGCCCATCTAAAACAAAATATTAGTGTTTTTTCTTCTAAACATTTCTAGTAGCATTGTTTATATCTATTCCTCTCAAAATACCACACACATAAAACAAAACCCTAGCATAGTTTTGCAATAGTTTTTTCACCTGTAAAGCAACTTCCTGACCTAAAAAACAAACACATTCAATCTATGGGATATTGCACAAGTTTTGTGTATTTTATTATATTTGCAATAAATGATGGTACACAAAAACTAACGTTTACGGAAATATCTTACCAGATTTTTATCTAATGATCTCCTGTTTTCAAGTTCTGCCTTCATCTCTTCTTGAAATTCAACCAACTAAAATGCAAGAACATGAGGAATGAAGTTGGATTTTGTATTCCAGACAGGCATAATTCTCTATAAATTATTTCTAGAGACAGTCCCCTGATCAATAGACAACACGTGGACAAACATTTCTTTATTAGTACTGGTATTAGATAGGGATCTTGACTTACAGCTAGCCACTTTCCTGTGGGATTTAATAGTGCCACAAGTCACGTACATAAAAACCTTCCAATGTAAGTAAAGCAGAGTGTGATGTCACAGGAGGCAGGAAGACAACAAAAACATCAGAAACAGAAAGTTCACTGTTTTGAACTCCCAGAAATGTGGCTTGTAGACATGTACACACTTGTAGAAAAATGGCAGAATTGTGAATAATCTGCAGAGTTCTAAAAGATCTGTGCAAGATAAGATTTGTCGGCAAATGATACATCTGCTCTCACCAATGACAAAGAGGTGTGACTACAGAAGAGTGAAAGAAGGATTTCTCAGGGATTCTTCAGAGGTTTCAGAAACAAAACATGCTTAAACATTACACTGCAAAGCAAAGTGTCCTTGAGTTCTGCTGGGTTGGAGCTGTCACAGCTGCTGTCAGTCGGGACCGGCAAGTTAAACATCTATATTTCCCAGTGTGACGAGGAACAGAGTTTGTTGCTTACTGAATTTGCATTTAGAACATTATTAAAACCAGACAATGTTGAACACAACACTGTCATTCATTTTCTTTCATAAAAATGGAGAAACGCTCCCCTTCAGCACAATAACCCAGAAGCCGGAATGCTCAGCCGCAAATCAGGGCAGCTCACATTGTGTGCCTCTGGGAGTTTTATGGGGCTTGATTACAATATCCCAAGTCATGGAAAAGTGCCTTAACTACCACTCTGTGATGAGAATAAGCCACCAGTTCTGTTCAAGCTGTGCCATTGGACTCAAAGAATATGAAATTCATGAGACTAGATACAGAATGCTCACGCATGAGCTTCACCACATAGCAGAGCTGTGACTGCATGAGAAACGGGAACGCTGTGTTCTGACTTGCTGGATCATTTATGAATTTTACATTAGACTACAAGAAAAAAAACACCAGATAAATAAAACAACAAACTCACACAATGCACACGGACACATAAAAACCAAACACAGATACTCAGTAATAGTTCAAAGAACAAACTTAGGGAAAAATTCCTTCTTCCATGTGGATTATCCTTGCCAGTACTCTAGAGATTATGGCTCTGCTTTTAAGAGGATATTTTCCAATCAGAACACAGTGTAAATGAGCAGTTAAATCACTGCTATATAGAGCTATCTATTCAAACATTTTGAGTTCACCAATGAGCAGAATGCTGGGCAGAAGCTCTAGTCCTTGGGAGAAAGTCAGTGCTTGCCATCTCTCACGATGCTTTGAGAGGAAACTGGAGAGCTGTGGCACAGCTGGGCACAGCTGGGCTGTCGGGGCACAGGGAAACCTGTCAGACTCCGATTCCTAACTACAAGACATAGAACAATATTTTCTAATTAGTCCAAGTAAAAGACAGTGCTCTGAGCCTGTTTCACCATTACTTACTGTTTCAACACAGAATGTGCTTTGAATTTCATCTTTAAGCCTTGACCTTTCCTTGTATAGTGTGTATAAGAAACTGGCATCTCTATCAGTTTTGTGAACTCCACTTCTGGAGTGAAATGTCCAACTGCTGAGCACTACAGCAGTGCGTGCCTTCTGGCCCAACTCCTCTTTTTAAAAATGAAGACTTTCTAATGTAAGAAGAATTTAAACATATTCTGGCTGCCAAGAGAATAGCTTTCAGTGGGATATGCAGAAGAGGGAAAAAAACATCAGAGACTTCAGTAATGTAGTTTATGTTTTAGAACTGTATTTTTTTTCTTTTGGGAACAGAAATACAGTTATCAGAATTATAATGAGAAGAGAAGGGCTGCTCCAAAGGCTTCTAACAGCACTCCAGTCTTACCTACTTGACAGAAAGTGCAGCAGTCATGAAGGGCTACCTGTGTGGATAATGGTATTGGAGGAAGTTTGGGATGAAAGCATGTGATCCGTATTTACGCAAATGTAGTGCTTTGAAATCACACAAGGGATAGGTAGAAGAGTTCCTATGCTGCTGCTCAAATCTCCTGGATGGGGGAGAATCTGCAGGAAGATACGGCATGTGAGACAAAAGCCTCCATTGCACTGAGATGAAGTGGAAAAAAGAAAAATAAAAAGTAAGCTTCAGGAGAAAAAATCCTGTTCTGATGACTGGCACTTTCAGCATAGTGAGATTTCAAACCTGAGGGGGATTCCTGAACCTGTCAGACCTTAACAGCCAACGCAAACAGAGGCATCCCTTCCTTGACGGTGCAGTGTAGTAGGCTGACCAACTAGTTTTCCATTTCCAATTTTAGATTTCATGTATAGTATCCTTTTTTTTTAAACTTTAATGAACGTCACCTTTCAATAGTCCTTTAGAGATAAGTAGGTTTCTGTATTTTAGAGTGGGAAACTTAGTTATAGAAAGCAGATTCATCTATGGTCACAGGGAAAGCCAAAGAAAGGGATGACTTTAGAATTCCAGTGCCTTAGTTCACCATCAGTTTGTTTTTTTGTAACATTAAGTTTTGTGAGAATTTTGTAATCCTTTATAAGCACAAGGAAATGTCATTTCCCTTAAGATTTACCACAAATAAGTGAGTTTTCTACAAAATCTCTTGGGAATTTTTCACAGAAGGAATGTTCTCTAGATTTGTGACTGTTTTAAAGTTTTCTATTAAAAATGAATAGATCTCAGGAATGAAATATATGCCTTGGAGAAAAAAAGTCATTTGAGAACCGTCACAAGACAGAAAGGCCGCTGGAAGGATATTTAGAAGTTATAACATGGAAACTCTGAGACCTGTCCATGTTTTATCATTTGTTACCAAACAGATATTAGCGCTGGAAAAGTTTTTTAGAAAGTTGTATTTTATGCCTTGCCCAGCTATGTGTTGCTAAGATAACGCATAAATAATAAGTCAGAAATAATTATAGGTCTATCCATGGGTAATGGAATATTTTACAAATTGTAGGTTACTAAAAAGGCTTTCGTTGGATGTAACTAGTTATTTGCTCTTATCCTGCCTTCAAAATCTTACTGAATGCATTTCTTTCTACACTAAAGTAGTCAATCATTTTAGTGTAGTATATTGAGGTTCAGAACTTTCACTGTATTTCAACAAAATTATACAATATGATGGGCCAAGAAGCAACTATACTCATTAAAGGAACACCAGTTCATTATTACTCTACAATGAGTTATACTACCATAATACATAATGTAACATTATTCAAGCCTAAGATTATTCTTCAGCTTCCTAGCATTACTTGGTCCATACACTGCTAATAGTCCAAGCCTGTTAATGTTCCTCCAGGACTGTAGCTAACAAATGTAAAAATTACCATACCTGTTGAATAGTTTGCTCATCACTTTCCATTTTCAATTGCATTCTTTGAACTTGCCTATCTGAAAACAAGAGGAGAAAGAGAAAAAGCATGGAATTATGTGCCTCCATTAATGTATGCAAAATGTTTGCTTCAGGTCAGTCTATAAAGCTGGTGGAATGCACAGTGGAGGAGTCCTGGCAGAACAGTGACCTTCATCACTGCCCTTGACATTCACAGCCTTCTTCCTGCTGTTTGGGCGGCTGGTCGGATTGAGATTGAGAAGTAAGTTCAAGAGCCAAGTGTGACTGAGAGCCCATAGCTTTTCATTAATACTAACTCTGGACATCCTTGCTGTTAGTCACAGCCAGTACAAAGTGTTTTAGCAGGTGGTTCGTTATTGTTCATGCAAAACTTCCAAAAGATAAGAAGCACCATTGAATCAGATGATAAGCAGGAATCAGGAATATTTTCTACGTCGAATTCATCTTGCTACTATTAAAGACAATACTGGATCTAAACCACATGGATGTAACAAAACTAAACAGCCAAATTCTAATCTATTGCCATAGTTTCCAGTTCTCCATTAAATATTTCATAAAGGAAATATACAAGAAGCAACCTGTTGGTAAAGATTGCTCATTGTAGGTTTTTTTTTTTTTGAAAAGAAAAAAATTAAAAATCTCCTTTTAAGAACTGTAATAAAGCAAAAATATTGGAAGTATAGATTATTTCAGAGAAACCATTTCTGTTAGAAAACTTCCTCAGAAGCACTGAAGTACATAATCAGATGACAAAATGTACATTTGGATATTTTGCAGAAGCTCAAAATCTACCCCAGAGAGAATTTCATATAATGAAGATAAAATAGCAGATTGTCATTTAAAAGCAGAAGTACTGACATATAATGCTGTTCTACTTCAGTAACTTTACAGCACTTATCTGCCACAAAATATAAACTCAGCTGCATTGCTAGGCAACATTACAAGTCTCAAAAGCCACAGCAAATATTCCTTTGTCATAAAATAAAAATATGTAAATATATGCATTAAAATTAGAATAAATATGTATGATTTTCTGTACAAGTACATACAAAATTAGCATTCAATACCAAAAAAAGACAAGACCAGAAAGAAGTTACTATCCTTCTGAAGTGCACGGACAATTAATTCCTACTTCAGCAATGTTTCAGCTGAACATCTTGAACCACATCAGCTTCAAGTTTTACCTAATGCATGCTTTTCTTTTTCAGAGTGTTGCAGAGAATTTTCAAGACGAGCAATCTCGTTGCGTAGTTTGAAAATCTCTTCTTTGAACTCTTCATTCTCTTTTTCAAGCTTTTTGTTTCCACGGTCATCGTCTTCAAAGACAACCTAAAAGGTTGCAGTGCCTTGAATTTATAAGTAAGGAGTCGGGGATTTCAGTATGCTGCACTGCTATAATATTATACAACACAGTATCATATAATTTCTGAATTCTATTACAGAGTCATAATATGAATAGAAAAAAGTTGAGGCTCTAAATAGGTTCCTGCAAGAAGAAAGGCTGCAGTACATTATATACAAAGACTATAACACATGGGGACATTTTATTGACAGGAATAATGCATATCATACTGTTTGTGTGCCCTCATCATTCAGGTCAATTTATTATGGAGGCTGAGTCCAGGAAGGCAGCTGGGGCCTATCCACCCACACTTCCCCCCGTGTTTCTGAAGTGCTGTCCGTAACTAGGCAGGCAGGAGAGGCTGCGGACAGGCAACACCAGGGGGTTGCAAAGTGCATGGCTAAGGAGGGGGGCTTGTTGCCTTTGTGCCATTTCTCAGTGACAGTGCTGCCAGTGTCATGAGGAGCACATCACATGTCAAAGCGGTGAAGTTTTCAGGCTGGGAGCCGCATGGAGTCCATCAGGCCTTCTGATATCAACACAGTTGGTTTGCTACTTGGTGTCGGAGCCACCCAGAGGCAATTCATATTCTGAACATTAACATGGCTTTGCATGCCTGTCACACATAGACCGTGCAGGGGTTTAATGCTATTGAAGACTACGGTTTAAATCTCTATGCAAACAGTGATTACCTTGTAAGAAGGTTCCAGGATAACATACAACAAAAGACTTTAAAGTTATAGTTTTAGTAAAGCAAACTCATTTACATTTTTATTATGCGTGTCCTTTGTTTAAATCTTGCCACGTCCATTATGGAAAAGACTTCTTATGCAACTGAAGCTTATTGGGACAGCTACTCTTTTTTTCTTGTTGGTCTCAAAGCTATTGAAAACATTTGAATATACTGTCTTATGGCTGTCTAGATTTTACTGCCACATATTTCTTTTAAAATTATAGAAAAGCTTTCAGAGCTGGCACGGATCTTTATAGTAATACCGGAATATTAACTAACTCCTGGATCTCTTTAAAATATTAACACAAAAGAGAAGACTCAGACAGCAGCTACTTTGCTTACCAAGGAAAATTTAGGATGTTGTTTGCTCTGCTTGGTAAAAATATGAAATCTGTTTAAAAAAATTAATTGAAAACAAAACTCTGAGGTTTTCAAATGACATAGAAACTTGAACTGTAAGGTACTAAGGGGTAACATTTAGCCCAGAACTTTCTGTTTTGCCTCAGAAAAATATTTTTGATCTCAAACTAACCAGAACAAATTATCACTGTATTATATAAACTTTTGGCCACAATGTTTCCATTGTTTTTATAAGAAATCATGTAAATAAAATGCAAAGCATTCTAAAAAGTAATTTATACAAGCTTGTGCTTCTCCATCCTTTACTAAAGAAATTTTCCTCAGAGCAAGTATTCTTAGCAAAAATGTTACTTCTAAGAATGCAAGGTGTCTTCATAAATTCATGAAAAATGTTTCAACAGTATTTCACCTTAAACAATCTTTGTGCAGCAAGAAACTTAAAATTATTCTTACATGGTAATTACTAGATGGCATGTTTGTATTGAGAAGCTGTATCAAGCTCAGGATCAGCAGAGTTAGGAGAACAGCACGTGCAATATTGGAGTGTTAACTAACTCTGCTCAGGCTGTAGTCAGCTCAGCCCACTGCAAAACCAACTCCGATCTCCGGTGAGCTTCTAAGAAGCTCTTCACAGGCTGAGGTCCATTTGTTCCTTTCCTCAGGCAGTATTTGAGCAACAGCCGATGCTCGGAGAAGAACCTTGAGTTTGTCGTAAAGTAAGCCCAAACAATTGAATGAATCCCGTAAGTTTTAAACGGTGCCACATCTACAAGTGTATCCGTAGTCCTGTAGTGCTGTAATGAAAGGATACAAACACCTCACACAACACTTTCTCCACTTGGACTTTGCACATTACCGAGGCAGCCTTTAGCTGTAGCCCCACCGCCTGCCTGGGACCAGAACTGCACGTCATTAACTATTCAGGCTCCTGCTGCAATGAGGACACTCATTAGCAAAACGAACAAAGGGACAATTTTCTGTAGCTACAGTCATCTGTTACACTTTGAGTGGCAGGTTTTGTAGCAATGTTCTCTCTACCATCTGCCCACAGCGGTAGCGTTTGGCTTGCTTAAACTGGGGAACTTTCAAGATGTAAGAAAAAAGGGCTGGAGGCTGGAAGGCAATTATGACACGGCTTAGCCAAGAGACTTCAGCATTTCTCACCTTATCTATTTCATTATCTCCATTCGAACAGTTTTATTACTTTAAGGTAACAAAAAAGAAAAAAAAAAAAAAAGAAAAAAAAGAAAAAAAAGAAAAAAAGAAGTATATGCTAAGCCTAAATAAATCCAATTACACTTTTATTGAAATGACATAATGCAGGTTGTTACCTGCATGCATTAGGCATTTCTAATTACATTAAATAAATATGCATTCATAATTTTGGACAGTAAAAAAACATACACTAGATTTATCCACCTATCATGACAATATTAAAGGCAAATGGCCCTTGAGGTAAAGGTGAGAGAATACAGCTATTTATTTTGCAGTTGTGAAATTCACATTTCCCTTTGGCATCTCGTAGTATTTAATATGCACACAGGTTAACTAAAGGGATGCTTGAAAAGCAGGTAGGATTTTTGCACTTTTACTGCAAAAATATACAACGAAAATTACTGATGCTATAATATGATACCAAAAAAGACAACACTTGAGCATATTTCAGATAAAATTATAAACTGCAGTTGTTATTGTTGTTAGTTTATTATGAACTTGCCTTGGTAACAAAATCACTGTTGAAAATCTATCATTTAAGTTATCATCTCCCTTTTCCTTCCACAGCTATATTTTAGCATTTAAAGTCTATTATTTACACCACAAGAGGGTGCAGTGGTACAAGTCGTCGTGAAAAACTTCCACAATACACCAGTTTTGAGCTGCAGGGGAAATGATCATTCCAGTGTTTATTTATATTTATTGTTGAAAAATCATATATCCATAGCAAGTTACAGAGTACATTTATAATAATAATTGTTTCATTTTCATGTTTAAAATGTCAAGGTTGAAAGTGGAAGGTTCCAGTACGGCCTCTGGTTACACACAAGCCATTACTTTTCAGGCAGTCACTCTGCTATTACACTCTTATGTTCAATTCAGCTAATGGGTATATTCTAAAAGGGCTTCCAGTCCTCCAGGATCTTTCACGGGATCAAGATTCTACCACTCCTCTGATAACATACTTCAAGTGGCAATCATTTTCCTGTGCATTTTCATCTTCTGGACACTGAATTTTATTATGTCATCTATGCAGGTCTTTTAAATGTAACAAAATGGAGGCATCAGAAAGGACAGGACTAACAAATTACTACTGGCCCAGACAACTCCTTTCATTTTTTAAGGCATGTCAGAGATGGAAAAGAAGTTTAGATAGCATAACTTTGGAATGAGAATAGGCATTTCATTGCAAATTCCTTGGCAGGGGAAAACAGAGAATGTTCCCTTTTGCATAAAGGCAGAATTCTCAGAGAACAGATAGAGTTAATTCCTCATTTCCATGTATTTTTTGAGATCTTTCACTGGGTAATGAGGGCTTTGCCTGAAGAATATTTTACCTCTTTCAGAGATTACACAAAGGTCAGGACCTGCACAGCATCCCATCTTATCAGAGTGACAAATAGAACTGCAGATATTTACCCTACAAGCTCCACAGCCCGTGTTACTAACATAGACTGAACTTCTTACAAGAGAAGCCTCCTAGTTTTCCTGATAGGCAAAGGGCCTCATCTGTGTCTACCTTCCTCTTCATGAGGTCTGAAACTAGAGACTTACAGTTGTTTTCCACTCCTTAGTGGAAGGTCACATCACTAAATTTTAAGGCAGGACATATCTTACTGTAGCACGCTATCTTTTAAGCAGTGCTACTAAATCAAACAACTCGCAAAGATCTTGTGTTCACAGGTACCACTCAACTAAATGTATATGATAGCAAAATCAGCTTTGTTGGAAAATATGTTTTATGTAATCTGTGATGCTGATTAAGAAAAGTCACTCTAAGTTTTCTATTATGTAAAACACCTACCACAAACTGGTCAGCTGTTTCTGGGGGGCTTCTATATCTAAGCTCTCTTGGTTTCCAAGTCTACAAATGTGTGTTCTCTGCAGATGTTTAGAATCCTTTCTAGTGGCTGATAAATCAGAAAGTAACTGTTACTTTGTGATAAGAGCATATGATTCTGCCTCCTCCTAAACAGAGCATATCTTTTTTAAAATTGCTCCCAGGGTTTTCACATTATTAACCACTCTGCAACTTTTACCTACTTGTATGCTCATACAATTACAGCTGCTTTTTTTTTCTCCCAATATGTTAAGAATTTTTTTGGTTCATGATATTGACATTTTGTATGGGAACTGCTGAATCACGGCCTGAACCTCTGATTGATCACCTGAGGCAAGCATTGAGTCAGCCCTGGGAGCACAGGTGAAGGCAATTCAGCTGTGCTGCCAGAAAGGTGGAGCCTGGCTGCACCTCTCCTAGACCCATTTAAGAGCTGACTACCAGGGGGAAAGGAGCTGGAGATTCTTCCTCTGGAGTTTTGCAGCAAGCCCAGGACATGTGTAAGTGCTCTATTTATTCTCTTTTTGGTATAATAGCCTGCTTTGCCAAACTCTCTTGTTTATTTTGTAATTATAACATCTGTATGTTCATTGATTATTCACGTTTATAGTCCTTTCTTTATTTCATTGTCTATTTTAAAGCCTTGCAAAATTTCTAATAATAGAAGGTACCCAATAAGCAATAGAAGATAGCCAAATGAAGAAATAAAATGTACTCCTGATGACTGTTGTAGCTAACAGACTGTTACAAGAAAGAATTACTATCTCTTTTGTTAACAAGAACTACTGACACAGCTTAAATATCCTGTTCTAGAATGGACTGCTTAGCTATCAATTCCACAGGGAGAGAGATACCTAGGTTCCTTAGAGGGTACACCTAAGACTCCATCTTTCTCCTTTACAAGTAATATGGTCTAACTTAGGTGGCTGCCAGTAGAAGATAGCATTTTCAGTTTTCCTTACTACTGTATGTCTTAATGGTGCACAGGGAGTTGAGATCAAAAAGCAATCTACCATCAGGCTTAGCTGAAAACTCTTTAGAACCTGAGACTGCTTTTTATCAGTCTAAAATATATGAGAAGTTTAAAAAGGCATTACAGATTTCTCACAGTTCAGCAAACTGCTGACAAGACAAGAGTTGCTAACTTGAGAAGGACATGTTTATATTACTGAAAGGAAAAGGAGATGATGTACAGAAACATGTGACTGAATTAAGTGTCCCATTTAAAGACTACAGGATGAATAATTAAGACAGCTCTCAGCCATTAAAACTATTTCTGTCTGCATTTGTGTGGGGAAAATTATTCAAAGGGACTTCTCATTGTCTACTAATGGTTAAAGGTGGTTAACTCAGGTTAACAACCTGAGTGGTTGCTGAACTCTGAGAACTATTGCAGGAGTTAAGAAAAATCAAGCATGAAGGGTTTTAATCTTCACTTAGATACCTAAAATGCCAACTTAAATGACCAACAACACAATTCTGAACAAGAAAATGACTTATTTCAGAAGTTATATGGAGATGGGAGAAATGAAGAGAAACAAGAGAAGTAATGTAAGTATAGAGATGGACTTTTCTGTAACTGAAATGGAATACAATAGTGCGGAGAGCAATATTTTATTCTAGTATTACATTTTTAAACAAGCTTTTTTCTTCAGGATTTACAAAAATATTTTAAGATTTTATTTTGCTAAAAACAGATCAAAAGAAATGCTATATCTATAATCAAACTATCACTGATTACACTATCAGATTGAATTGAGTGAAATTAATAGAGTACTACAGGCCCCTTCAGTCAAAATACCTATCTATAGCAAGAGATATCCCAAGAAGTGTTCTAATATTTTCCTATCTTTACCTTGGGAAAATAACAAAACCAGAAATCACAGAATCACAGCACTGTAGAGGTTTGGAAGGATCTCTGGAGGTCGAAGTCCAACACTCTGCTAAAGCAGGTTCCCTGCAGCAGGTTGCACAGGAAATCATCCTGGAAGATTTTCAGTATCTCCAGAGAAGGAGACTCCACAACATTTTTGGGTAGCTTGTTCCACTGCTCTGTAACCCTCACAGTAAAGATGTTATTTCTCATGTTCATTTGGACATGAGAAATTTCCTGTGTTCCAGTTCATGCACATTACCCCTTGTTTGGTCACAGGGCACTGCTGAAAAACCCTGTCCCCACTCACTTGACTTCTGCCCTTTATTTATAAGCATTGATAAGATCCTGTTTCAGTTTTCTCTTCTCCAGATTGAACAGCTTTTCCTCATTTCCATGCTCCAGTTCACTCATCTTTGTGGACCTCTGCTGTACTCTCTAGAAGGTCCTGCCTTTCTTGAACTGAGGAGGCCAGAACTGGACATAGCACTCCAGACACGACCTTATCATGGCAGAGCAGAGGGGGAGGATCACCTCCCTTGACCTGCTGGCCACTCTATTTTTAATGCACCCTAGGATACCACTGACCTGCTTGGCCACAGGAGCACATTGCTGCTCACAGCCAACCTGTTGCCCACCAGATCCTTTTCTGCAGAGCTCCTTTCCAGCAGGTCAACCTCTAATCTGTTCTGACACTTGCAGTTATTCCTCCCCAGGTGTAGGACTCTGCACTTGCCCTTGGAAGTTCCTCTCTGCCCAACTTTCCATCCACGTTTTTCAGTGTTTAAAGATTTCTAGGTTTGGTAATAAGTTTATAATCTTTTTTTGAAGAACATACCATTTTAGTCCTTTCATTTTCTTGATATTCCTGCATTTTTCTTTTCAGATCTTCAATTATGGACTCTTTCTCACACAATTTGTCACGTAAAAACCTCAGAAGTTTTCCTGGTGAACATCCTATATCTTCTCTGTCTATGTTGTAATACTTCTATTAGGAGAAGAGATTACTTAATGACATTCTTGCATAAATCACATAGCCCATCTTTTTCTAATGCTACAACTTATTTTTTTTTTAAATTGGAGCACATCATAGTACACACTCCAGAGTTCCTGGTACCAAAAATAAAATGCTATTGTATCTGATATTTCAGATATTTAATCAAGAAATGTGTTATATCTAATACATAATCCATAGTAATAGAGAATTCAAACATGGCAAAGAATAAGAAAAAAGGAAAAGCATATTCCATATGTTTAAAAACTTTTAAAGAACATGTCTAAAACTCATATAAGAATCAAAATAAGAAAGTGCAGAGTAAGTACAGTGTTGCAAGATAAACTATTGAAATGTTAACTTCTGGATTACTGGCATTTATTTTTGCATCTTGATTGCATCAGTAAGGTGTTTAAATTGCAGTAAAGGATTTTTAAAAGCATCTACAATGATTTGCTTCAATGCAGTAAAAAATTAGCCTTTCAGAGAAAAACAGAATGTGCAGCCCCTTGTTATACTGAAATGCCTGCCCATCGTGATGCACAGCCAGCAGTAACCACTAGGAAACACTATGCTCAAAAGTATGTGTGAGCTCTTCCTTCTTGAGTACCATTTCCAAGTCATTTTCCAAGGTTAGGTGATTAAATATTGCTTAGCTTCTTTAAAATATTAATAGCAATATTTGTCTCTAGTGCAGTACATTCATATTTGTAACACTCACTAAGGGGTCTCTTCTCAGAGCATCCCACCTACTGAATTACACTCATCTGGCATGGGATGAATCTCTACCTGTTTACTTTTGGATTCTTTCAGTCCAGCTTCAGTAAAAAGATTTTACAAGGGGGAAGTCAAGCAAAGGGAACCTAAACCTGCAGTTTCCTACTGAGAGCACTTTACTGCAAACTCTGTGGAATATATATGCATTTTATTTTTACTATAGAATGATTCCATGAACAGAAGGTGGGGAAAAAGAGCTTTTCAAACACAAAATGAAATTTGCATTTTTTTATGTGGTTTGTGTGGCAGTGATCTGATCATATGTACAAATCTGCAATTCAGCTAGTAACCTCATCTTTATTGCGAAAGAAAGGCGAAATTTAAGTTCCAAACTTTCTAAATTGGATCATTCTTAGTATTTGTATTAAGCTCTGAAATCTGAAACTCTGAAATTTTTAAGGCACAGTTCCTAGAGCACAGTATAAAGTCATGAGGAGTGTACATGATTGGTCATCCTTCTCTTGTAGCCTGAGCATTCAATTTCCAAATCTATTGAGACATACTCATTTCTGATTGAACCAAGCAGCATTACATGTGATTACTATGTCTCTGCTTCTGAAGAGAGCCAGTCATAGCCTCTGTCTTATAACACAAATTTCAAGTATGCAAAACTGTACAGTTCAACATGAGGGAAGGGGAAAAACAGGACTTGGAAAAGTATTTTTGTGCTATTTTCATTCAACTTAATGTGATTTATGCTTAGTCTTCATGAATTATACAAACGCATCCTTCTCCAGATACTGTCAGAACTGGCTTATGACCTATCACTACTCCAATCAACAGTCCTTAACCTTGTGAATGGTTAAAACCTACCTCAATATTTCCTCTGAGAACAGCCAGTGCATCGCATAGCTGTTGTTGGTAACTTTGTCGAATCTGGACTTCTTTCTGGAATTTAATGTACAAAAAAGGAAGCAGGAATACAAAAATAAGCAAGCAAACAAATAAACAAAAACAGACACAGAGAACTTGCACCATGCCTTCCTTTCAATTTAAGAAAATTAAATACCATTGAAGCTCCTGTGAAAGAGAAAACACTGCACTTGTGTTCCTTTTTTATCTTTTTTTTTTTCATTCTTCAGTCTCTTTTTAGCTTTTGGCTGATTAATGAAACAGTATCTCTTCCTCAATAAACTGAAGATTCCAAACTGCTTTAAAGACAAGCAGTTACTAAAGAGTTGTCTCAGATGTTTAAGATGGGAATTAACGCATTGATTTTTTTAAAAGACTTCTACTTTTCATATCCCCACATCAGAAGCTTGAAAATCTTGAAGGCTGAAAGTTGAATCTTATTTCTCACTTGTGGTGAGTGCTCACTAGTTGCCTAAGAGGAGTAATGCTGGTGTGAGCTGTGATTTACTATCTAAAGATCAGTGAATATATATTTTCAAAGAAATATATGGAAAAGAACTGTAAGTAATGTGTGTGTGTATATATGCATTTTAGAAATAACTGCACTAGAATGTAAGATATCTTCATAGCTATGGCTGTTAATATGCAGAGTACAATATAATCCATGTTTTATTAATTGCAAATTTACAAAAGATGATTTAGCCATTCAAAAAAAACACTATTTTGTTTTATCTCCTTATTTTCAATGCTTCTGTGGATTGTTTTTTCATTAAATAAAACATCAATCTATGGAACAATGATGTACAAATGAGAACTGGCATCTAGAGAAGATTGACATTTAATTGAACAAGAACTTTTCTCTTTACCTGTTTATGAAAAGTCTCAATGTCTGTCAGTCTATCATTTACATATTTATAGAGATTTGAAGCTTGCTCTTCAACTTTTTCTTTATATTGTGCTTGAATGGCGCTTTTGTAGATGAACAAATCTTTCTGGAGGGAATGAGTGAGCTAAAAATAAAAATCATCTTATTACTTATATACAAAGTAAACTAGATACACACATGCAAAAAAGGTACAACTACTCTGTTCAAGATGCTGTTGATGCTGATTATTCACCTAAATACAAGCATCCTAACGCAGTTCTATGCCTTCTGGTATCTCCTTTGGCCTACAACAATCAGTTAGAAGAACACGTGTTTCTACACTGGCAGGAGCTCGGCAGGAGCTCCCTGCTTTGTGTCTTAGAGTATCAGCACGGGTTTCAGTATGCAGAGTAAAACTTCCAATTTGGTATCTATTTACATAGGAAACAGGTGAAGAACTTTCTGTTACAATGAACTCAGGGGTACTTGACCCAGTTCCTCATGCACATATGTGGCTTAGTGTCATAAGAAACAGGGTATAAAAGGTATCTTATGCAGGGCTGGCAGACCTGACAGAAACCTGTTTCCTTCTGAAACGAGAGACAAAATATCATATCCCAAGACATCTCCACTGACTACAAAGATAGATCTGTGCTCACTGCATGAGAAGTTCAGATGAGTTCAGATGCCTTGCTCAGTTAAAAGTTACTTCTATGAGATGCCTAAAAGTAAATTTCCTAGTGTGTCCACTGACTCTCAGCTCAAATGAAACATCTGACTGTTAAACAAAGTATTGAGAAGCCTTCTATAACAAAAACCCCAAAAATTAAAATGAAAATTAAAAAAAAAAAGAATTTAATTTCATAAAATGAAATTAAAATGTAACTGTGGAAAAAATGTTAATTACTTCTGCAGAAAAAAAAATGCACATAAGTTACAAAGTGTGCCAATGTATATACATTTTGCAGTCTCAGAAGTAGCAAAGACATCAAAGATGTAATATTTGTTATAGGCACCACTCTACTGTATCACTTCTCTGGAAGATAAACTGAAAGTTGAAATTTAGAAAACTATAATTCATGAAATAGAAAATTTGAGAATACATTATTAGATACATATTTTAATAGCATCAAGCAAAAAAGCATAACAAGAACTGACCCTTGATATAAAAGATAGTTTGTATCCACATATACAGTGTTTGCTGCCAAATTAAAAATGCCCCTCAGAAACTTTCAATTCTGAAGAGAATATTCATGCAGTAAAGATATTTAACTTCCTTGGGAAACAATTATTTTTTGAATACTCAAGTCTCTGCCAGATGGTAACTAGTTAGATATTGCAGAAGAGATCCAGACAGGTCTATCAATACAGATATCACAATGCAATCCTAGAAAGTGGTCAGAACATGTTCATAAAACTTAAGCCAGTAGCCTGCAAAGTTTTTTACTGCAAAAGACTAAAAATAACTGTATTTTAGCAAGAAGTAACAGATGAAGTGTTAAAGGAAATATGTTTGGCTTTCCACTGACTTTGATGAGCAAAACACTCAGAAATCTTTATGATGTACAAGGTAGAAATATATATAGCTTTTAAAAGCAGTACCAAAGCTCTTCTCTATGTTTACACACTATTCATGATCTGGAAAGACAAGTGTTTGTTTGTTTGTTATTCCAAGGAAATTAAACTTTCTGCACACATAATTACTTCATATCCTGAAGCATTTTCTTTTGTAATTTCTTAACACAGTGAAGGGACAGATAGCAACGTATCATTTTGATGTAACAGATCTCCCTCTACAGGTCCCTAGAGGCATCTATCCTCACAAACTCTTAAGACATTTACATTGAGAAAGCTTTATTTTTCCCCGTTATGGACTGCCTCTTCGCTCCAAAATTTAAGCATTTAATTTCAGTAAGACTCTGCTTAGATTACACATCTATCTAAGCAAGTGCAGATAATGCCATCTTGATCTTCTTTCTAACTTTGTACATGATTTGTACAAAGCAGAAGCACTACACTATTTCATTTAAGCAGAAGCAGCAGGGCACGTTAGCTGTGTTCATAACTGACACAAGGCAAGTATAAATGGAACTGGTAGGCCCACATTTATTGCCACACTATTAGCTATGATCAGATGGGTTTGAGACTTTAGGATTTATCATTTTCAAAATTAAAAATCTTCTCTGATTCAGTTAGCTGAGTAACCCAGTCTGTAATTAACCTACCAATATTTGTGTGTAGGTATATTTTGAAAATAAAAATTCATATATAGAGTATATGAAAACAGCATAAATGTCAAAACAGATTGCCTAAATATTATATAGAACAGGTGACAGTGACAAAAGTATCTGTTCTACAGCATGAAAAAGACTCAGATATCTTCCTAGTTTACCTTGATTAAAGCTTGTGTAGCAATTGCTAATTCATTTAATTCTGGTATTTCTTTGATATCTGTTTGTGTTGCATGATCTCTGCTGTGATATCCTATTTTTAAATCATCTGAAATGCGAGGCCTGTAAAAAATCCATTTGAATAAACAACTTAAATAGAACAGCAGTTGCATTAAGCAGATTAACCAGTCTTTATTAGTAATGGATATTCAGGAATAAAGTAAGTATTTTTTAATCATTTCACTTGCATGGCATTTTTTAAAGACAGGAACTTAAGAGCGTAACAAACACACCAGCAGCTTCCTTGCGTTTGTTTCATGAAGGCAAATGTTTTCAATAAAATACTGAATAACAGTTGAAAGCAATGCAATCATTGTACTAAAGAACGCAAAGGAGAATGCCAAAGAACAGAATGCATTCTGACAGCAAATAGACTATTTTCAGTGTGCTGTAGAGAAATCCGTCCAAGAATCCTGGACAGTATATTCAGTTAGGAGCTTGTTTTTCTATTTCACTGATAAATTTGATTATTTGATATTATTAATTTACTCTAAAAACACCTACCATTAATTTTTAATAAAAACCTACAACACTGGATAGTTAAAAACAGAGCAATGCTGGCGCTGTCAGAACTCTCCTGTCACAGCAGATGGTGTCAGACAGCTCCTGCCCAGGGGTAGGCGATCCAAACCACTTAACATCTTAACTGCACTCGGAGGTGTTCCGCTTCGGGACCGTTCCAAAATATTCCAAGTACTGTGGAATACTACTGGCCACGAAGGGCTGTTTTCATCTCCCCAGCTTCCGTGCAGGAAACCCGCACAGAGCCCCAGCCGTGCGGTGATGCTGTCAGATGCAACGTATCCCTGCCGGGCCACGGAGCAGCGGCAGGAGGCACGGAACAGCGCTGAGCGGGCCGGACGGGCACTAGCCGAGAGACCCAAAGGGAAACCGCCGCAGCCCGGTGCGGGCCTCACCGGTGCTCGGGCTCCTGCAGGCCGCAGGGCAGCGCCAGCAGCTCCAGCGTCGCCGGGGCCAGCAAGCGGGCCCAGGGCGGCGGGCCGCACCGCCTCACCGAAGCCATGGCAACCAGCGCCCCGCCCCGCCTGCCTGCCTGCCTGCCGCGCCGCAAGGAGCGGGGCGGGACGGGCGGACGGCGCTTCCGGTCGGCGCTTCCGGTCGGCGCCGCTTCACAGGGCGGTGGTGGCGCGGTGGTGGCGGTGGTGGTGTACGCGTTGCGGCACTGTAGCCGGCTGCTCGGCAGGTTCGGGCGCGGAGCCCTGCCTTTCTGTCACCCGTACGGAATTAATAGGTCATTTTGGTCCACAGCGATCATCGACTGCAACTCCCAACTCCGCACGTGACCAGCCAACATCCAAGCCCTTTGTGTGAGAGCGGTGTCCAAACGCTCCTTGAGCTGCGCTGCCGTGGGGCCGTGCCCGCTGCCCCGGGCAGCCTGCTCCGTGCCCACCGCCTCTGGTGAAAAACCTTTTCCTGCTATTCAACCTGAACGCTTAAGTTATTACCAGGCCAGGGAACACATCTGCCTCAGGGACATCAGAGCATGTTTCAGAGATTTGGCGATGTATCGCTGCACCCAGATGCAGCGATTCTCTCAGCATCTTCATGGCCTTTGGCTTGACCAAGCCCTCCCTGCTCCAGCAGGGAACGTGGAGGTGAGGAGCCCAAATGGGCTCTTTGAACTACATGAGACTGTGAACCAAAGGTGGAAGAAATAAGGAATAGCTGCCTATGTGACAGAGGCAGAAGAAGAAAATGCAATTTCATGCAGTTTCTGACTGCAGGATAGAAGATCGTGTGAAATGTGAGCATACACGTTATTAGTGGTCTGACTGCTTTCATTGTAGTAACAAATGTAGGCTTTGACATTTTAGTGTTGAAATGGTTGAGACAACAGTGAGACGATCAACGGAGACTATGATTTTCTCATAATTCTCACTTGACAAAAGTCCATCAGAGTATGGGCCATCTGCAAAAACAGTTCAGTTATTAATGTTTGAATGCACTATATAATCTGTAGTGTTCTGGTCTCAATAATTTGAGCATATGCACTAAAAATCACTTCAACTTTGCTCAAACTCAAGCTGCACGTAGAAAGCAAGAGTTGAAGAGCAAACATTAATACCACTCCTCTCTCTCTAAATGTAGGAGCAGAATAATCTCCTACATAACAGAAACCACAAGGATTTTTAAACAGGATGAGCCCTTTTAGTTTTTGCTAGGATTAACACCCTGTATAAGTTCAGTGTGATATATAAACTTTATGGACTAGAGCTTATTGTAGACATAGTATAAATAATAAATCATTTCTAGTATTTGGAGTCATTAGTGTGGGTGAAACCTTCCTAACCTCAGCATATGGGATTCATTGGCTTATAGAAAAAAATTGCCTTTAAGTACAAAAACTAAAAAATAGTTTTTTATGATTTATTTATTTATTTGTTTATTTATTTATTTATTTAAAGCTCTGGGCAGCATTTCATTTTATCAACAGAAGGAATATGGAAAGAGATACAAACTAACAAGTTAAATTTAAACTGTTAGAATTATTCTCTTTCTCAAGCTCAAGGTGAAGATGAGATCAAAGCCATCTCTATATCAAAGAAATGTAATTGGTAAGAAATTTAAGTTAGGTATACTACCAAAAATAAGTCATCACTTACTACTTTCACAAATGTTACTTGAGTTAATATAAAAAGGGAGATATCATTCTTACACCCCGTGCAGAGTAATAGTTTAAACTAATGCTTCTGACTCGTATTCTCAGGCTTTTTCTTTCAGTTTAGCGAAAATGGTGAAGGTAATTGAGTGAAAAGCAGAAATTGTTACTTGACTTTCAAAGCCCATTTGTGAAACTTGACTTACTTTTGAGAAACCTTCCAATATTAATAATGTATAGAAGAGCACATTTTCTTTGGGGAAGAAGTATAATTTGCCATTGGAATCAGGCAAAAAGTTTATTAATATAGGCTTTAGCATGTTACGTACAAAAATTGCCAAAAAATTACATCTGTGTTTTTCTGATCTATAGGAATCAGATTAAAGTTCAAGAAAGCTGGTTTCCATAATCCCATATATTGCTTGGATACATGCAAGAGGAGTGTCAGGGAACTGATCAGATGATCATGTTTATTTGTGAACATAGAAAATCCAACATTTTTTTTGTGATATATTTCATCCTGACTTGGTTGTTTTCTTATTAATGATTGCAACTTGGTCATACTGTCCTAACTACTGTGTTTATGTTAAATAGCTTGATGCTTCACACTGTAATTACTGCAGTCATGATAACCTTGTTTATTTAGAAATGTCTTTGCTGTATAGTCTGGACAAGGCTAGCAATTGAATCTTCTAAGATAATAATCAAGTTATTTGTTTTTTTTTTTTGTTTTGTTTTGTTAATCCAATTCCCTGAAAGATGTTATGATATTTTAATCTAGTTAGAAGCTGCTGAAAATGCATTTGAAATGGTGCTGTTGACAAATCTTAAATACTAGCATTCATGTCATAATAAAATATTGGCTTTAACTTAGCAAAACACAGTTGGTACTCTCTTCAGGATAGCTGCTCTTCCTAGTGGGCTAAGGCCTTCTGTGGATCCACAAATGAGAGATGGGGCTTTTACATCTGCAACCACACCTCACCAAGCTTAGATGAACGTGACCTCTAAGGAGCTGATGTTTACAGTTGCACATAGCATCTTTTTAAAACAAGGTACTTGCTTATTATTTAACTAAAACAGGGTAAGAGTCTGTTATGTCAGAATGGAACAGCAAAGCTTTTGTGTCTGTACATGGTATGCCTGTTTGTGTAGCTTGGAAGTGTCCAGATTCAATGACACAATGGAATTGGCAATAGACAATAAATCTCTCCCCTTTGATCTACCTCAGATTTTTCTTCAGATTCTAATTGTAATCATTTTACATATTCTGCCTCATTTGACTGACAGTCATCAATAGATAATTTCTAATGGAGTCTCCAAGGTAACCAGGCTTATATGCTAACAGTTCTTGACATGTTCTCTTACAACCCAAGATTTACCTTAGTCCCTTATTACATAAAAACAGGTAGAGATGGCTGCAATACAAGTATGACAATTCCAACAATATGTGCATTTCCTACTTTTTCCTGAATATAACAGGCATTTTTGACCTGAGAGAAATACAGTAAGTATTTTATTTTATTCTGTCTGTATTGGAAAAAGTGAACAGATCTTCAGGCACATAGCTCCTTTCAAAGGCCAGTGAACTTCAAACAAAATATAAAAGACAGTTGCTCTTTGTTCAAACTAATGATGTTAATCCCTCAGAAAATTGGGGGGAGGGGAAAATAAAGTAATAGTAGCACTTTCAGAAAAGAGATATATTTGCAGGTGGAGAGGATGACAGATCGTAAATCCCTTGGAAAAAAAAAAAAAAAAAAAAACCAACAAAACACAAGTGGAACAAAGAAGCAGGCTGATATTTTGCTGCACATTAAGATCAAAGTCTTTACTATTGCTACACTGTTATTAAGTCAAAATAGTCCTTACATTCACAGGTCCTCCTGATTTCTCTACACTGCTGCAAATATTTTGTTACCAGGATCCTTTCATAAAAGTATTTGCAATTATGTCATATCTGAAAGCTAAGGCTGTGAGTCAAGACTAAATTTATTCATTGCCAGGTTGTATCCATTTCATTTTGGCTAGTGCTGTCCTTTAACTTCATCAGCTCTTCTCACTCCCTAGTATTTCATCTGTCAGGTATTTATGGAGGGCCCTTTTCAACCTATGCCAGATAAAGCAAGCCAAGAACAGTTAGTCTCTTGTTGTCACTGGTGCTCTGATTGTTTTAATTCCCCTTTGCTCATGGTCCAGTAAAAATGTAACATCCTTCAGCAGTATTGATCAGAAATAGATAAGATATCCAGACAAGGTGATAGTGGTGAAGCTACCATTCCACAATCTGGGTCTCTGCTCCTGGTGATTTCCCACAGCTGATATTCTGCTAATAACAGAAATACTCACCTGTCACTGAGTGGATGTTTTCCATTTGCAACTCTGATTTTCATCTACCCTTTTAAGAAGCTCTATTTCTAGTCTCCGATTGTTTCCTATATGGTATTTCAAAAATTTTTATTGTAAAAATGCTGCTCAGCTCTATAGCCACTAGTGAAAGTCAACTGCACACCATATGGCAGGGTAATTAATGAAAATATTAAAGTCAGTCCCAAGACTGATCTTTAAAGAACTTCACTACCAAATGTCTTTCAGCATAATGATTCCTTTAAATTATCTGCAGTTTTCTCTCCTTTAATGAGTCCCATAGCCACCTTTCAATTCTTGTTCTAATCCCCATTTTCATTGGTTTAGTAATGTCTCACGCTGTGCAGTATTAGAAATTTTATTTAGACCCAACAAGATTAGATGTACTAAATTTCCTCTAGTAATTTTGTATCAAATTCAGAGGGTCATCCCTTCTGTTCAGCAGAAAGGCCCAGATCTGTTACAGTAAATTAATCTTAGTTGGGATTCTCACTCTGAATTACTAAGTAATTAATGTTTAATTTTTATAAAGTTGTGCTTGCATAGAAATCACAAGAAGATTGCTTATATTTTCACATACAGATGATGTAACTCTTAAAGAGTGCTTCTTTGTAACAATTTTTAATGTTTCAAATAATTTGAATAAGTACAGAAAATCATATTGCTAAAACACTTTAAAATTTCTACAGATATTCACTCAAAGCAGCAGAAACATGACTTTGCTTTTCAGTACGACTAAATTGAGTTTAGATACCATTTTGTTGGGAGTTACTGGTACAAATTCACTAATATTCACTATAATTCACTTTTAAAATTATCTCATAATATTGAAACAATACTGAATCAGAAAAATAGTAGTGTTTGTACATTTAGCCATAATAAACTAGATTAGGAAAGGTTTAATTATTTACAGAGTAGGACATTAATAAGGATGAATTGATGTCACCCCTCCTCTGTAATGGTTCCACCTGTGTTATTTTTTCTCATTAGATAGTGGAGTTAAATACCTGCAATCTGACCTTGCCTTAACAGTTAGCTCTGTGCTGTGTAGGTGGAAACAGAACAGGTTGGTATTGTGATGAGGTAGGTTCTTCCCCTAAATTCCATTGGAGCTAGAACAATACTTGTTGAGCTGGTTACACTGCATGTAACCACAGTCCTTTCCCACAGGATGGACCAAGCAATGGAATAACAAAGGTATTTTATTTAATTAGATGCTATTCCTTGACTCTGAAAACATAAACTATGCAATGTGGTTTTCTGCTAAGCTTACCCATGTGTGAAGTAATGATACTTCCTTTTGCTGCTTACCAATGGTGGAATGGTAGGGAAAGCTGACTATTGCAAGGTTTTGGAGGACAGGGCAATGAGACTGCTCTTAGAATTAGTCTCAAGCTCCAAAGCCTTTCTGCTGTAAGGCCACCTGTAGAAATGCTGGCTGCTTGGTACCTTGCTGAAGTTATGTTTCTACTTCAGGAGTAACTAGTCCTGTAGTACTGTACTTTTTTCTTTTAATGTTATTTCATACCTAAATGTTTGTGGGTTTTTTGTGTTTGTTTTGTTTTGCTTTTTTTAATCAAGAGTAACCTATTAATGATATCCGGCTTCTGTTATTTCTGTATTACCCACTTCCTCTACTTCCTTCACAGACTGTTCTTGTCAGAACCCTGTTCTGCTCTTGGTAGGAGCCAGAATAACTACTTTCCTCAACACTAAAATCATCACTAACCAACACGAAAGGGAGGGAAGGCAACTATTTCACTTCCTATAACTGATAACAAAATACAGGCATTGTAAACACTTTTATATCCTTTAAGGTTTATTAAAATATCTAAAATAGCTCTCTTTAAATGTTGTATGCGTTACAGAGCTTGCTTATTGCATTATTACCATCGTTTTTTTTCTCTGAGGAAATAGCATTTATGATTCCTTTTTATATTCTGATATCATCTTTGGGCCCTATTCACAATGACCACCACAAATACCATCTACACACTGAGTAGAAATGAGAGACTTGACCTGCGTCACAGTTCACATTTAGAAGCTCACTTATCAAATGGGATGTGAATCCAAGACCCTGAGGTGTGAGTGAATGTCTATATTTATCATCAGCAACCCTTTCTCTAGTCTTGCCATGTGATGTCATACTGTATATTTCATCTCTAATGCCCAGTGCACCCATACAGTGATATGATTTTAACCTGAGAGTATTGCAGAAACGAAACAACAAACTGTGAGGCAAAACTGTCTGAGACGCATCTCTTGTTTTATGCAGTGTATGTTTACCTCAAAAGTAGCTGATGATACATTTACTTTCCATTTTATGTTAGTGATACAGTAAGGGTTCAGTAAAATATAAAATCATTACTGAAGGAAAAACAACAACAAACCAAACTGACATATGGAGTAGGAAAAAAGACTGGGAGTGGAATTATTCAGGCTATAACTTGGTAACTTTATGAAAGGAATGATATGATCGTAGGCAACAAAAGAGAAAACACATGATTTGGGAAGTTGTCTGGTGTGTTGTGTGTAGGTGGTTTTTTGTTGTTGGTTTGGTTTGGTTTTTTAATTTTATTTTAGTTTTTTTAGTTCCAGCTCATATTCCTTTGGATACCAGGGTAAAGTTCTTGCCAGGGTGAAGTGGTGAATGCTGGAACAGGCTGCCCAGAGAAGCTGCAGATGCTCCATCCCTGGAGATGTTCAAGGACAGGTTGGAGAGGGCCCTGGGCAACCTGCTGTAGTACCAGATCTGGAGGTTGGTGGCCCTGCCTGTGGCAGGGGGGTAGGAACTTGATGATCCTTGGGGCCCTTCAGTCCAAGCCGTTCTATGATATTTCTTCCCTGTATTGGAAGATCCTTGGTATATATCCATTATACACACACATGTATTTTGATTTTTCTATTTTTTTCCCTGATATACTACTTCAAATTATTAAAAAAAAAAAAAAAAAAAAAATCACTCCATCATCCAGTTATGTACAAAGAGCTATCAATTCATGAAATACTTCAGCCAGAAAATATCTTTGGCTGAAGCACAGATACACTAGTATAAACAAAAAGCTGTGGAAATGCTTATTCAGCATCATTCAATATGTCACTTCAGTTAACTTCTCTCACCTTCTTCAGTAATAAATGATCCTGCTGATGTAATTAATTTGTTTGTTAAAGTTAGTAGTTCCACTCTTAGGCATCCAGTTTTACGTCACTGAATGCCACTGTTTTTCCACAGCTGTTTCTATGCTTGTGGTTTGCCTTGTAAACAATCTAAACCATTCCTGGAATGTGCAGTGTAACCAGTGGTAATGATTATGTCAGGAGAAATTCTAACCTCAAGAGATGCTTATGCTTTGTTACCACAGGGATTGCTTTAAGATCTATTCTGCATTAGCAAATCATTTACATTTGCCTATATTGAATGAACCAGAAGCCTGGGAACATTACAGAAGACAGTGAAAGGCATCTCCACAGTATGTTCTGCTTGCTTTGTGAAGCCTTCCAGTGCCTGTGTGGCACAGTATGCAGGCAGAAGTGACCGAAATGGAAAAACAGGAATATTATGAAAGCAATCCATCTGTGCGTTGTGTTTTAGCCAATTTTTATATGCTGTAAAGCAAAGTTCAGTTTTTCCCCAGTGGGTGCTCTACACGCAGCTCAGAGAAAGAGCAAATAAGCACCTCCTGGCAGCAAAAGGCACCACAGGCACAACAATGTGCTCCTTCCTTTTACAGATAGTCTTGTATTGAGGAAATTCAAATTCTTCCCTGAAATTTAATATTCACAAGAATTTATTCATAGCACTTGATCATCCCCTCTCTATTTCCATCCTTTTCTTCACCTAGTGACCTTGGATCAAAGCATGGGTTAAGACATTACTATTATTGCAAACAGATGTCAGACATTTACTGAATGACCTTGCAGGTAAATGCTGACTGTTGGTAACTCCTACAATGAAAGCTGAAAACTAGCCGTGAAATGCTTGTGCTGCAGAGGTTCAATGGGATTTTTGTTGTTGATTTCTAGAAAGATTGGATTCCACCCAGGCCAAATGTGTGTGACTAACTCTAGATGCTCAGTCACAGAAAATGTTAGCCACGTTACACTGTCAGTATTTAATAACACAGTTAAAACGTGCTGAGGTGAACTTTTCTTTCTATTTACTTCACATGGGAGGTAATTAGTATGTTAAAAGCAATATGCAATTAACTCTCATACAATGGTAGAACTGTTTGTTATGTTGCTCAGTTACCTAGTAACAGATTTTGATTGTATTTTAATAGTACTAAGAAGGTTACTACATATATTTTAAGTAAAAACATGGGAATGATATTACTGATATCTGTTTGTAGAATGATCTGGTAACTGTACCAAAAGCTGCAGGTGTACTTAGTGTGCGTTTCAGGATGCTCCTTGGATTTTTGTTCAGCTATAAACAACCTTTTTCTCCCTCCAAAATGTGTTGAAGCACAGCACTGAATTACTAACACATGGAAATCTGGGAGTGTGTAGTGAATCTCTTTCTTTCCTCAAATGAATAACCACAAACGTCATACCTCACTGTAACTAATAATCAGAATAACACAGCTGCCCATCCGTTACTGTACTGCTGTTCCAAATAACCAGTGGTTTTGGAGGGGCGGAACAGTCCTTACTGGGAGTTTCTGTAACATCCTAGTAGAAAGAAAACTGTGGCACTAAGTATTCAAAGAGCAGCACTCATTTTTAACAGAAATGCTCTTATTCTGCTGGATCCATCAACTATTCTCTAACAGAAAGAGCTGCCTATCTTTCCCCTCTACTCCCTCCCTCTGTTACCAGACTATTTCAGACTTCAAACCCACCACTCAGTACTAACCTCTGACACTTGTAGAACAATTCACTAAGCAAAAATATACAGATATCTTTGTCCTTTTTTAAACTAAAAAAAAAAAAAAAATGCAGAAGAGCTGGTGAGAATAAAGTTACATACGTCTTTATTATAATGACAAAGGTCACAACAGCTATTGGCACATTTTAAACCCTCTGGGAAGGGACAGCTTCCAGTGATTTTTTACATTAGATCACCTGTGAATATACTAGAATGCATTTTATCTTGGAAATGTACCTTGTATGGTTTTAATTAACAAGTAAAACCAAGAGGAATTTTTCTTTTGCCCCAAGCCTTTGCTTGAAAAGTATTTCAATAAAAGTATTTCAATTTAGCACCATTTGATTGGTATATTTTACTCTCTAGGAAATGATTTGTCCAGAAATAAAGATTCACTGACTGATCTCATAAGCTATATTTAAAACAAAGTTCTGAACATTCTGACATATGAGAGTCACTCTGTAATTTCAGAGCAGTTGTAATACTTTATCCTCCTGTTAACAGGCTGCCAGAAATGCTCCTGGCTAACGCACATCACCATTTGTTCTAAAGGTATCAGCTTTCTGGCTGTGGTGGATAATCAGGACCTTAGAGCCTGATTCATATCTGATATACCTCTTACACTTCAATTTTGGAGGCAATAATTTTGGATATGTATTGACTCTTTGCATTTCAATTGAAATATTCCCATTAATGCATGGAATTAGATGCTGTATTTTATTCAAAACAAAGAAGGAAAGCAAATGCAAAAACTGTTCCCTTAGGTATCCACAGTTTTTAGTATTGAGAATTTCAGTCTTTTTCATTCCACGCGTGAGTTAGCCAAGGTGGCAAAGAGATCAAAACATGGAAGAGAATGACACACTGTGTTGTATTGCTGGTAGCCTAGGAACCAGCTGCAGAGACTGGGGATAGGGCTCAGTTCCCTGAACATGTATCTGAAGAAACAGTTCTTTTTGACATCATAGTCTGCTGCAATAGGTCAGCTATGTCTTTTTATTTAGCAAAATACAAGAACAAGGGAAAATAAATGGTGAGAAGATAAAAAAAGGAGTTGGTTGTACTTACCGCCCTGTCCGCTCTTTTTCTCCTTTCTTCATCTGGTTGGATTATGGTTATCTGGTTTAGACATGAGGAAAAGATTTTCTCTCAGAGAGTGGTCAGGCACTGGAATGGCTGCCCAGGGAGGTGGTGGAGTCGCTGTCCCTGGCAGTGTTCAAGAGGCATCTGGATGAGGAGCTGTGAGATATGGTTTAGAAGCTTGTGGTAGCAGTGGTAATGTGAAGACGGTTGGACTAGATGATCTTATAGGTCATTTCCAACCTTGTGATTCTATGATTCTGTGATTGCAGAACTAAAACTAAAACCTTTCATCCCTAAATTTATTCTGAAATCTATTTTCTCACCCTATATAACTTTGAAGTTGAACACAACAATATCCGCTTTTCCATTCTGGTAAGACTGAATGCCTGCATTAACCCAGCATGAAGTGGGGCTTCTTACTCAACGTGCCTGCCGTAACGTAATCACATCCAGCGTGTGCAGATAGCGTCACTGCTCGTGTCTGACGGGTGAGATGCGACTTTATTTATATCACAGCTAAGGCAAAAAGACATGCGCTGATCGTAACGTGCCATCGACATCAATAAACCAATTGCCCACGGTCTTTTGGGAGCTGTATTTTCAGTCTGTCTTCACCAATTATTAACTGATGACTTATATCGTAGTTTTATGTATACATCTATATGTACCACATTTTAACCGATGACTTATATCGTAGTTTTATGCACACACGCACCACATTTCCCTAAGCAGAACTCCGCGCGCTCCCACAGCCGCTCACCGCCGCGCGTCCCCCCGCCGATGGGCGCGGCTTATCGAAGCCCCGCCCCCCGCATTCCAACGTGCGCGGGCCCCGAGGTAAACACGGCGCCGCCCCGCCCCCAGCAGCTTCCAGAAGCGCCTCAGCGCTTCGCCGCGCGCTCCCGCGGAGGGGCGGGGCCTGGCGGCGGGGCCGCGCCGCTTGTGGCGCAGTCGGAATTGCGGCGGGCGCCGCCGGGCCCAGCGGGCAGCGCGGGGCAGGGGAGGGGCGGCGGGGAGGGGGCGATGCCCCGGGTTATTTTTACCCGGGCGGCTCATCCTCTCCGGCAGCCCCGGCGCGGCCCCCGCCGCCGCTCCCCGCCCCGGCTCCGGCGGCGCCGCCTATAAAGCGCCGCCCGCGGGGAGCCGAGGATGCAGCTCTACAGCTCCGTGATCACCCACTACCCCGCGGGCGGGACGGCCCCTCCGAGCGCCGCGGCCGTCTTCAAGGTCTCCATACCGCCGGGACCCCCCTCCGCCGACGCAGCGAGCGACGCCGCGGGGCCGAACCCGAGCCCGACCGCCGAGAGCCCCGCCAAGGACGGCCCGAGCCCAGGGGGCCCCTCCGCCGCCGCCGCCATGCCCGCCTTCTCCTCCTGCCTGGAGGTGATGCCGAGCGGCCCCGCCGCCGCCGCCGGCCCGCAGTACAGCTCCTGCGCGCAGCTCACCGTCAGCCGCCGCCGCCCGCTGGAGCGCGTGGTGCCCATCCGCCTGCTGCCCCGGCCCGAGCCCGCTCCGCACGGCCGCGCCTGGCTGGAGGGCGTCGTGCAGAGCGGCGCCGAGGAGCCCAGCAACCGCAGCCTGCGGCTCAGCGAGCACTGCCAGGCGCTGCAGGCCGCCGCCGCCGGCCAGCCCGGCCCGCAGCCCGAGCGCGGCGGGGAGGACGAGGAGGGCGGCGGCGCGGCCGGAGCGCGGCGGGCGGAGCGCAGCGAGAAGCTGGCGCTGTACCTGGCCGAGGTGG